CGTTATAACCTTATTAGAAACTTATAATATAATTTTAACACTTAAAACTCATGAATTGCCGATCTCAAAATAGGTTATCATGAATGAGAACCGGGCCACGTTTACATTCCAAAATCACTAATCAGTAATTCATAACTAAATCGTAATAGATAACCTTATATTGTATTAATAGTAACTCAAAAATCTACATTTCATATCATACTACCACATACGTATATTATGTATAAGTTTAATTTTCAATACTTATTATAAATTACTAAGATTGTATTACAGAAACATTAGTAAAATCGTTATACCAAAATCATCAGCCCATGTCAAGAAAATTAGTAGTAAAACTTAAGTTAATATTATGGCTCGAAGTAATACCCATTTTAGCAGGCAGGGACCTGAATATAAATCATCCAACCCAGTAATAATTTTCTCGAGACACTCCAATAATTTTTCCTCATCAAATATTATATTTATTCATAAAATCCAACAGAAATTTTTATAAAGAATGCAACAAAATATTACATAATTATTTTTAACATGTCTAATGATATACATACTTTATTTTAATTTAAATTTAGAAGTTAAAAAATAAAACCTTGTAGGCAAGGTGAGGACTCCACACCCCATCTCGTCGGGCCTCTCTACAGATAATCTTAAACAAGAGTGCAAATATTTTCACACAATCTTATTAATGAATACTCTTATTTATTTTAAAAAATGTATTTTTTAAATTAATTATTTTAAAAAAAATACTATATATATACGATTTTATTTTTATATATAGTATTATATTCTTCGGGCATCGCCTCCCTCCCTCCACCCAATAAAAATTCTGACTAGGTAAGAATATTGGAATTTCATAAAGAGCCGGTACTATCGTGAAAAAAACCTGAAAAAAAATCCCTATCATCCAGATTCCAAGAGCCTGCTAAACAAACATATTCATTTTCGCTATCAACTTCATACATTCATATGCAAAACGTAACACCTTAACAAATATATTCAAATTTGACAGTTCTTGCCCCTTTTCTTGCTTCAACTTAAGTCGGTCGTGTACACGTATTCCCCAATGGAATTTCCAGGGTATTGTTCCGAGTGTTGTACCTACCCTGGCCGTCCATTAAACTTATCTTTATTGCCATTAGCAGCCCATAAGTAAACAGTGCACCAAAAAGTCTGTACGCCTAGGATCATTGACGTAGGCTTTCTGTATTCTGGTACAGGGGAGGCCCCCACCCTCTGGTACTAAAAAAAAAGTGCTTGAGAATTTATATTATGTACAAACATTCCGAGTGATAATTAACATAATATATTGTACAACGAAGAATATAATATTATATATAAAAATAAAATGATATATGTAATAAATATATTTTTAAAATAAATAATTTTTAAAAATAAATAAGAGTATCATTAATAAAGTTGTGTGGAAATATTTCCATTCACCTCTGTAAATTTAAGGCTATTCATTTTAATAAACGTGAATACTGCCGTATTCATTTTTACAAGTGTAAATACAAAGGCTCGGGAATTTATATTATGTACAAACATTCCGAGTGATAATTAACATAATATATTGTACAACGAAGAATATAATATTATATATAAAAATAAAATGATATATGTAATAAATATATTTTTAAAATAAATAATTTTTAAAAATAAATAAGAGTATCATTAATAAAGTTGTGTGGAAATATTTCCATTCACCTCTGTAAATTTAAGGCTATTCATTTTAATAAACGTGAATACTGCCGTATTCATTTTTACAAGTGTAAATACAAAGGCTCGGGAATTTATATTATGTACAAACATTCCGAGTGATAATTAACATAATATATTGTACAACGAAGAATATAATATTATATATAAAAATAAAATGATATATGTAATAAATATATTTTTAAAATAAATAATTTTTAAAAATAAATAAGAGTATCATTAATAAAGTTGTGTGGAAATATTTCCATTCACCTCTGTAAATTTAAGGCTATTCATTTTAATAAACGTGAATACTGCCGTATTCATTTTTACAAGTGTAAATACAAAGGCTCGGGAATTTATATTAGGTACAAACATTACGAATGATAATTAACATAACATATTGTAAACGGTAGAATATAATACTATATATAAAAATAAAATGATATATGTAGTAAATATATTTTTAAAATAAATAATTTTTAAAAATAAATAAGAGTTTTCATTAATAAAGTTGTGTGGAAATATTTCCATTCACCTCTGTAAATTTAAGGCTATTCATTTTAATAAACGTGGATACTGCCGTATTCATTTTTACAAGTGTAAATACAAAGGCTCGGGAATTTATATTATGTACAAACATTCCGAGTGATAATTAACATAATATATTGTAAAACGAAGAATATAATACTATATATAAAAATAAAATGATTTATGTAGTTAATATATTTTTAAAATAAATAATTTTTAAGAATAAATAAGAGTATTCATTAATAAAGTTGTGTGGAAATATTTCCATTCACATCTGTAAATTTAAGGCTATTCATTTTAATAAACGTGAATACTGCCGTATTCATTTTTACAAGTGTAAATACAAAGGCTCGGGAATTTATATTAGGTACAAATATTACGAATGATAATTAACAAAACATATTGTAAACGAAAGAGTATAATACTATATATAAAAATAAAATGATATATGTAGTAAATATATTTTTAAAATAAATAATTTTTAAAAATAAATAAGAGTATTCATTAATAAAGTTGTGTGGAAATATTTCCATTCACCTCTGTAAATTTAAGGCTATTCATTTTAGTAAACGTGAATACTCCCGTATTCACTTTTACAGGTGTAAATAGAGCCGTATTCACTTTTACAATCGTGAATACGGCCATATTTATATTTACAATCGTGATTATATGATAATTAACATAATAAAATACATTGTAACATAATTAACCAAACATATTGTAAAATAAAGAATATAATACTATTCATAAAAATAAAATGATATATATATATATATATATATATATATATATATATATATATATATATATATAGCAAATCTTTTCTTTTTTAATAAATAATTTAATGAATACATTTTTTTAAATAAATAACAGTATTCATTAATAAGGTTTTGTGAAAATATTTCCATTCACTACTGTAAATTTAAGGGAATTCATTTTAGTAAACGTGAATACTGCCGTATTCCCTTTTACAGGTGTAAATACAGCCGTATTCACTTTTACATCGTGAATAGGGCCGTATTTGTATTAACAGCCGTGAATACGTATCTTCTGTATTCGTATTACTTTTTATGAATATGAATATATTCATATTTATGTTCATTTTTACCATAAATATAAATGGTATTCGTATTTATATTTTTGAATATAAATATGCCCATTTCTGTTGTGTATGAGCGTATTCTTGTTGGTTGGCAAATAAGTCATTTCGGTCTTTAGAGTGAAATAAAACTTAATCTATTATGGACATAAAATTTATTTTAGTCTACAGTATATTGACTATTATTTAATATGAATTTTTCCGATCTTTTCACTAACTGCATAATGTCATGTTCATAGAATGTCTGGTTTTTATTGTTAAAAAACTGATCAAAGTAGTTTTTGATGTCCACTTCCTTTTGGAATTTCTTTCCGTTCATAGAGTTCTTTCTTTTCTTGGAGCTAGGTCCGGTGAATAGGGAGGGTGGGGCAAAGGGTCCTATCCAAGGCTCAATAATTTATTGCGAGTGACCAATAAACACCAAAGCGTTGTCTTGGTGGAATACAACACCCTTCCGATCATTCATAACTCTTTAGGATTTTCTCCAAATTTCATATACTATATCTGTTGGAAAGCTGAATTATTGATCTCCAAATACGTATGAATGTTTTTTTGGTTTAATGCCTACATAAGGAATAAATAAACAAAAACTCCTTATAGGTTATAATTTTTTTAATCTCCATTTGTAGTTTGTTTACAAAGGTTCTGTTGATGCCATTTTGTGTAGTTTATGTGGCCCTTAGAACTCAAGTGAAACTCCTAGCTGAACACACCTCCCTGAAGAAGACCTGCAAAGTCGGGTCATTTTTACTTTTAATAAAATAGTTTTGCCACTATTTAGCCTATTTATGACCATCACCCCGGACCATCTCCTTCCTTTTTAATTTATTACTTTCCTACCTATACTGTTTAGCCTGTTTTTGAAAGGTAACGAAATTTCCTACTAACCTATTTAAAATTCGTTCATTTCGGACAACTATTAACGAAGTTACAGCTATTTAATTTCGTATGTAAGAAAACGGTAAATGAGAGAAAAAAAAGAAAAGTAAGTGAAAGTAAGAAAATCTATTGCCCGCATCACACAAGTTTTCTCTCGACTTTTAACAGAAATTATTGTTTGACAAAATTGCGCTAAGGTAAAAAAGTTTTTGATTAACGATATTAGAGTGTATTGAATTTTTTAGGCTGATCTTACAGAAGCTAATTTATCTAAGAAATCGTACTTAAATCTTTGATCAATTTTCAGGAAAATAAAAGTAATTCGATTTTTTTTTTTTTTTAATGGATATATTTGAAGTTATAAAAACTTTTCTGAAATAAGTAGAAAAGTCGTGTGAGTGGACACACCAGATTTTTTCACTTTCAACTTTGATAATCATAAAGAAGTGAGGTGATAATCAGATAGTTTGCAAATAAAAGTATATAAATATTATTTCGTATATTATAGAAATGTATAAATCTCATCATGTACAAAGTCTTATAGTGATTATATTAACATGCTTTCTACGACAAACTTACCTCCAATATAACTTTTATTCCTAATAGTTAATGCGTGAGTGTTGGCTCATGATATGCTTCTAGATTTTATAATTTACTCTCTGATTCGAATGATTCTTCAATATTATTCCACCCAGAATAGATATTTTAAGGATAAACAATACTTAGTTTCATTAAACCAATTAAACTAAAGAACAAAAATATGCATATAAATTTATATTTATATATTTTTTTATTACAGAAAGCTCGATTAGCAAGAATTCGAATTGCAAAGGCATCATCAGGTGCAGCATTCGTAAGTAAAAAGAAGGCCGCAGAAGCTAGGCTTGCTGCCCAAGAATCAGGACTAGAAATTGATGATAATTATAAAGAAGAAGATATTTTCGAACTTCAGCATCATCATTTACTTCGGTGCCTAGAGAAAACTACAGTAAGTTATTATTTGAGGTAGTTAAACTAATTTATAATCATTTCTTATGGCAAAACAATTTTTTATAAACATTCTTGTCAGCTCAATGAAACATTTTTTATCACATTTAGGGTAAGCGCACCACTGATGGACACAGCTAAGGAAATTTTTGCATTTTTTTGGCTTATGCCACCGTAATTATTATATTATAGTTATAAACTTCTCCGATGGACATTTTAAATCTCTAGGCTTTCCTATTTCAATTTAACACATTAAAATTAAAAAAGTATTCAGTTATCCAGGTATAATCTCCATTTTATAAAACACCTTTTTGCATTCGTGATGGACACCCCGAAACTCAATTGTTCTATTAACGGACATGGAGTCGGTACCAGTAATGGACATACTTCAGAAAATTTCTAAAATCATTATTTAACTATCAAGATAACGGATAAAGACAAGATGATATAAATGTTCAAGTTACTCTCAGCAAAAATGTAAGTAGGAAGGTGTGAAACACACTGATTTCAAGAGCAAAACATCATAAAACATCAACGATAGGCATTTTAAAATTTTCTTTTGGGAACTTTGTTAATGCAGTTGTCATTAGACGGCATTTTTCTTTAATCTAGAAAAAACTGGAAACTTTAAATCAACAAGGAAGTTCATTATTTACATTTAAAGTCCAACCTGTCTTTCACTGGTGCGTTCACCCTATTTGTGTTACAATGATTAATGTTATTCCTTTCTTGATATTGCTACATTTATGAAAACTTAGTGTAATTTTTATGAGAATTTTAATGTGATAATAGTTTTCTGAACCATTGGAATAATTTTCATAAAATTCATGCAAAATCTCACTTTAAAGCCTAGCCAAAATATAAGATCATCCAACAGTTTCAAAAATATAAGGCATTTATGCTACTTAAGTTCCGTATTAGCTTTCTCAGTATTAATACTGAATATGAATATCAGTATTATATCATTGATTTATGACAGAATTTAGTTCGAACCATGTTAAAAAAAAAGAAGTTGGATTCAAAACAACAAATATTAGCTATTAAACATCAAACTATCTTATGCCGAACCCATGTTATCTCAATTTGAAGTGTTTGGATTCAGGCATTATTTTTTATCAGTGCGTGATGATTAAAAATAAATATAAATAAATCTGTGATCCTAACACATGAAAGGTCATAATTTAGTACTTACAAGGATTTTTTTAACAATAAAACTTCCAAAGTCATCTGGGCGAAAATTTTGTGTAAAACAATTGTTCTACAGCTATGAAAATAGTATTATAGCATTATTCGAGGTACGAAAAACGAATATGAAGTTTGTTTCTACTTAAAAAAATATTTACCCCACATCGCTAAGTTAGTCAGTCCAATTTAGCTATAAATAAAATGATTACAATATTGGAACAAATTGTGCCGACATATGTAACATCTCTGCGGCGCACAGCGGGTAAATCCCCGGTTTTTCGGAAAGAAAATTCTATCGATTACACAATTTTACTTTAAAAATTCTGAAGAAAAAAAAATCAAATCTAATCTTTGGAAAAAAAAAAAATTGGCGGGTTCATAGGCCCACAAAAAGTGGAACTAGTTGATCCAGTATTTGGGAAAATGCACTGTAGCTCACTGTTTTACCAAATTTATCAAAACGTGCGACAAATTACTGCAAAAATTACTCGGCTGCAAAAGTTATCTGTTGATAATCCGCGTTAGCAATTTTTTTTTTGTGTCTAAACCCATATCTACAAGATAAAAAAATAAAAACTTTTCTCACATTTTTCGCCATGGATTTTCAGTTTCGAGCCTCAAGTTACTGGCTTAATATTCTTTAAGTCAGCCGCCACATTATATTTTATTCTAATATTTTGAAAGCAGCCGCTCTGGAATGGCAGACAAGGTTCATTTTACTCAGAATAACATAGAGTTTCGTAATTTACAATCAAACCTTTCGCCTGCGATCAGGTCGATTTTTGGGCTCTGAAGATAGGGCTCACTATTTCTGCTCTGTAATGAGATAAGGATGCTACCAATAAATTATATGACCAGAAATCCAAGAGAATTCACTCCCCACATGCTGTGCCAACCTATCTATTTGTGTGCCAATCGATCCTTTATTGGGATTAGCAATGAAAAATACGTTAAAGTTCAGTGTTGTATCATGAAATGTATTTCCGAGGCTTTTAAGTCAATTTCACTGTTCCAATCTCGTAATAATACTCAATACAGAGTTATATTAAAAAAATGAGAGCCATTATATACCCCTTTATAATTTTAGACCTATTTGTAAGAACCTAAACATATTTTTTCTGTAAAATTATAACAAAACTTTATTCTTCTAATATTCAAGGCCTGAAAATCACTGGAAGTGTTCTTAAAACTCAATTTCACTTTTGGTTTTTGTTTTTTTTCCAACGTGCACCACAACATACTTCTCCACTCTACCTTGAATAGATTGCAAACCTGTACACTTCATTCATTGTTGAAGTTTTGAGTAGTTGAAGTAAATAAAAAAAACAACCCGATATCCCTTAACTACCCAATGTCGAGTCTGATATTTAGTTACTTATACATCTTAGCTCAATACCAGCCTTTTATCTTTACATTTTTCTATTTTTCATTATTTATTGCATTCATTTATTGTCCATCTCTAGACAAGGTATCAGTTTAGACACTATTCCAAGAATAAGTTGATCTGTCTTCCAATCTCTTAGCAACCATCCACATTCAATTTCATCTCTTCTCATAATCCATTCTTTAAATCAGGGGGTTAAAGCAAGATAAAGCAATACTGTGATAATTATATATTAACCTCAGTGTCAAATTATGCTAATCTGAACTGCCTTTCTATCCTCACCTTATACGCCTGCTATTAAACAATTATCATCTAGATGAAAATTTTATTATTTTTCTATTTAAATTTTTAGGATAGAGAATTCGTTGAATTGGAAGTACCCTACAACTGGCGGGTTCATAGGCCCACAAAAAGTGGAACTAGTTGATCCAGTATTTGGGAAAATGCACTGTAGCTCACTGTTTTACCAAATTTATCAAAACGTGCGACAAATTACTGCAAAAATTACTCGGCTGCAAAAGTTATCTGTTGATAATCCGCGTTAGCAATTTTTTTTTTGTGTCTAAACCCATATCTACAAGATAAAAAAATAAAAACTTTTCTCACATTTTTCGCCATGGATTTTCAGTTTCGAGCCTCAAGTTACTGGCTTAATATTCTTTAAGTCAGCCGCCACATTATATTTTATTCTAATATTTTGAAAGCAGCCGCTCTGGAATGGCAGACAAGGTTCATTTTACTCAGAATAACATAGAGTTTCGTAATTTACAATCAAACCTTTCGCCTGCGATCAGGTCGATTTTTGGGCTCTGGAGATAGGGCTCACTATTTCTGCTCTGTAATGAGATAAGGATGCTACCAATAAATTATATGACCAGAAATCCAAGAGAATTCACTCCCCACATGCTGTGCCAACCTATCTATTTGTGTGCCAATCGATCCTTTATTGGGATTAGCAATGAAAAATACGTTAAAGTTCAGTGTTGTATCATGAAATGTATTTCCGAGGCTTTTAAGTCAATTTCACTGTTCCAATCTCGTAATAATACTCAATACAGAGTTATATTAAAAAAATGAGAGCCATTATATACCCCTTTATAATTTTAGACCTATTTGTAAGAACCTAAACATATTTTTTCTGTAAAATTATAACAAAACTTTATTCTTCTAATATTCAAGGCCTGAAAATCACTGGAAGTGTTCTTAAAACTCAATTTCACTTTTGGTTTTTGTTTTTTTTCCAACGTGCACCACAACATACTTCTCCACTCTACCTTGAATAGATTGCAAACCTGTACACTTCATTCATTGTTGAAGTTTTGAGTAGTTGAAGTAAATAAAAAAAACAACCCGATATCCCTTAACTACCCAATGTCGAGTCTGATATTTAGTTACTTATACATCTTAGCTCAATACCAGCCTTTTATCTTTACATTTTTCTATTTTTCATTATTTATTGCATTCATTTATTGTCCATCTCTAGACAAGGTATCAGTTTAGACACTATTCCAAGAATAAGTTGATCTGTCTTCCAATCTCTTAGCAACCATCCACATTCAATTTCATCTCTTCTCATAATCCATTCTTTAAATCAGGGGGTTAAAGCAAGATAAAGCAATACTGTGATAATTATATATTAACCTCAGTGTCAAATTATGCTAATCTGAACTGCCTTTCTATCCTCACCTTATACGCCTGCTATTAAACAATTATCATCTAGATGAAAATTTTATTATTTTTCTATTTAAATTTTTAGGATAGAGAATTCGTTGAATTGGAAGTACCCTACAACTGGCGGGTTCATAGGCCCACAAAAAGTGGAACTAGTTGATCCAGTATTTGGGAAAATGCACTGTAGCTCACTGTTTTACCAAATTTATCAAAACGTGCGACAAATTACTGCAAAAATTACTCGGCTGCAAAAGTTATCTGTTGATAATCCGCGTTAGCAATTTTTTTTTTGTGTCTAAACCCATATCTACAAGATAAAAAAATAAAAACTTTTCTCACATTTTTCGCCATGGATTTTCAGTTTCGAGCCTCAAGTTACTGGCTTAATATTCTTTAAGTCAGCCGCCACATTATATTTTATTCTAATATTTTGAAAGCAGCCGCTCTGGAATGGCAGACAAGGTTCATTTTACTCAGAATAACATAGAGTTTCGTAATTTACAATCAAACCTTTCGCCTGCGATCAGGTCGATTTTTGGGCTCTGGAGATAGGGCTCACTATTTCTGCTCTGTAATGAGATAAGGATGCTACCAATAAATTATATGACCAGAAATCCAAGAGAATTCACTCCCCACATGCTGTGCCAACCTATCTATTTGTGTGCCAATCGATCCTTTATTGGGATTAGCAATGAAAAATACGTTAAAGTTCAGTGTTGTATCATGAAATGTATTTCCGAGGCTTTTAAGTCAATTTCACTGTTCCAATCTCGTAATAATACTCAATACAGAGTTATATTAAAAAAATGAGAGCCATTATATACCCCTTTATAATTTTAGACCTATTTGTAAGAACCTAAACATATTTTTTCTGTAAAATTATAACAAAACTTTATTCTTCTAATATTCAAGGCCTGAAAATCACTGGAAGTGTTCTTAAAACTCAATTTCACTTTTGGTTTTTGTTTTTTTTCCAACGTGCACCACAACATACTTCTCCACTCTACCTTGAATAGATTGCAAACCTGTACACTTCATTCATTGTTGAAGTTTTGAGTAGTTGAAGTAAATAAAAAAAACAACCCGATATCCCTTAACTACCCAATGTCGAGTCTGATATTTAGTTACTTATACATCTTAGCTCAATACCAGCCTTTTATCTTTACATTTTTCTATTTTTCATTATTTATTGCATTCATTTATTGTCCATCTCTAGACAAGGTATCAGTTTAGACACTATTCCAAGAATAAGTTGATCTGTCTTCCAATCTCTTAGCAACCATCCACATTCAATTTCATCTCTTCTCATAATCCATTCTTTAAATCAGGGGGTTAAAGCAAGATAAAGCAATACTGTGATAATTATATATTAACCTCAGTGTCAAATTATGCTAATCTGAACTGCCTTTCTATCCTCACCTTATACGCCTGCTATTAAACAATTATCATCTAGATGAAAATTTTATTATTTTTCTATTTAAATTTTTAGGATAGAGAATTCGTTGAATTGGAAGTACCCTACAACTGGCGGGTTCATAGGCCCACAAAAAGTGGAACTAGTTGATCCAGTATTTGGGAAAATGCACTGTAGCTCACTGTTTTACCAAATTTATCAAAACGTGCGACAAATTACTGCAAAAATTACTCGGCTGCAAAAGTTATCTGTTGATAATCCGCGTTAGCAATTTTTTTTTTGTGTCTAAACCCATATCTACAAGATAAAAAAATAAAAACTTTTCTCACATTTTTCGCCATGGATTTTCAGTTTCGAGCCTCAAGTTACTGGCTTAATATTCTTTAAGTCAGCCGCCACATTATATTTTATTCTAATATTTTGAAAGCAGCCGCTCTGGAATGGCAGACAAGGTTCATTTTACTCAGAATAACATAGAGTTTCGTAATTTACAATCAAACCTTTCGCCTGCGATCAGGTCGATTTTTGGGCTCTGGAGATAGGGCTCACTATTTCTGCTCTGTAATGAGATAAGGATGCTACCAATAAATTATATGACCAGAAATCCAAGAGAATTCACTCCCCACATGCTGTGCCAACCTATCTATTTGTGTGCCAATCGATCCTTTATTGGGATTAGCAATGAAAAATACGTTAAAGTTCAGTGTTGTATCATGAAATGTATTTCCGAGGCTTTTAAGTCAATTTCACTGTTCCAATCTCGTAATAATACTCAATACAGAGTTATATTAAAAAAATGAGAGCCATTATATACCCCTTTATAATTTTAGACCTATTTGTAAGAACCTAAACATATTTTTTCTGTAAAATTATAACAAAACTTTATTCTTCTAATATTCAAGGCCTGAAAATCACTGGAAGTGTTCTTAAAACTCAATTTCACTTTTGGTTTTTGTTTTTTTTTCCAACGTGCACCACAACATACTTCTCCACTCTACCTTGAATAGATTGCAAACCTGTACACTTCATTCATTGTTGAAGTTTTGAGTAGTTGAAGTAAATAAAAAAAACAACCCGATATCCCTTAACTACCCAATGTCGAGTCTGATATTTAGTTACTTATACATCTTAGCTCAATACCAGCCTTTTATCTTTACATTTTTCTATTTTTCATTATTTATTGCATTCATTTATTGTCCATCTCTAGACAAGGTATCAGTTTAGACACTATTCCAAGAATAAGTTGATCTGTCTTCCAATCTCTTAGCAACCATCCACATTCAATTTCATCTCTTCTCATAATCCATTCTTTAAATCAGGGGGTTAAAGCAAGATAAAGCAATACTGTGATAATTATATATTAACCTCAGTGTCAAATTATGCTAATCTGAACTGCCTTTCTATCCTCACCTTATACGCCTGCTATTAAACAATTATCATCTAGATGAAAATTTTATTATTTTTCTATTTAAATTTTTAGGATAGAGAATTCGTTGAATTGGAAGTACCCTACAACTGGCGGGTTCATAGGCCCACAAAAAGTGGAACTAGTTGATCCAGTATTTGGGAAAATGCACTGTAGCTCACTGTTTTACCAAATTTATCAAAACGTGCGACAAATTACTGCAAAAATTACTCGGCTGCAAAAGTTATCTGTTGATAATCCGCGTTAGCAATTTTTTTTTTGTGTCTAAACCCATATCTACAAGATAAAAAAATAAAAACTTTTCTCACATTTTTCGCCATGGATTTTCAGTTTCGAGCCTCAAGTTACTGGCTTAATATTCTTTAAGTCAGCCGCCACATTATATTTTATTCTAATATTTTGAAAGCAGCCGCTCTGGAATGGCAGACAAGGTTCATTTTACTCAGAATAACATAGAGTTTCGTAATTTACAATCAAACCTTTCGCCTGCGATCAGGTCGATTTTTGGGCTCTGGAGATAGGGCTCACTATTTCTGCTCTGTAATGAGATAAGGATGCTACCAATAAATTATATGACCAGAAATCCAAGAGAATTCACTCCCCACATGCTGTGCCAACCTATCTATTTGTGTGCCAATCGATCCTTTATTGGGATTAGCAATGAAAAATACGTTAAAGTTCAGTGTTGTATCATGAAATGTATTTCCGAGGCTTTTAAGTCAATTTCACTGTTCCAATCTCGTAATAATACTCAATACAGAGTTATATTAAAAAAATGAGAGCCATTATATACCCCTTTATAATTTTAGACCTATTTGTAAGAACCTAAACATATTTTTTCTGTAAAATTATAACAAAACTTTATTCTTCTAATATTCAAGGCCTGAAAATCACTGGAAGTGTTCTTAAAACTCAATTTCACTTTTGGTTTTTGTTTTTTTTTCCAACGTGCACCACAACATACTTCTCCACTCTACCTTGAATAGATTGCAAACCTGTACACTTCATTCATTGTTGAAGTTTTGAGTAGTTGAAGTAAATAAAAAAAACAACCCGATATCCCTTAACTACCCAATGTCGAGTCTGATATTTAGTTACTTATACATCTTAGCTCAATACCAGCCTTTTATCTTTACATTTTTCTATTTTTCATTATTTATTGCATTCATTTATTGTCCATCTCTAGACAAGGTATCAGTTTAGACACTATTCCAAGAATAAGTTGATCTGTCTTCCAATCTCTTAGCAACCATCCACATTCAATTTCATCTCTTCTCATAATCCATTCTTTAAATCAGGGGGTTAAAGCAAGATAAAGCAATACTGTGATAATTATATATTAACCTCAGTGTCAAATTATGCTAATCTGAACTGCCTTTCTATCCTCACCTTATACGCCTGCTATTAAACAATTATCATCTAGATGAAAATTTTATTATTTTTCTATTTAAATTTTTAGGATAGAGAATTCGTTGAATTGGAAGTACCCTACAACTGGCGGGTTCATAGGCCCACAAAAAGTGGAACTAGTTGATCCAGTATTTGGGAAAATGCACTGTAGCTCACTGTTTTACCAAATTTATCAAAACGTGCGACAAATTACTGCAAAAATTACTCGGCTGCAAAAGTTATCTGTTGATAATCCGCGTTAGCAATTTTTTTTTTGTGTCTAAACCCATATCTACAAGATAAAAAAATAAAAACTTTTCTCACATTTTTCGCCATGGATTTTCAGTTTCGAGCCTCAAGTTACTGGCTTAATATTCTTTAAGTCAGCCGCCACATTATATTTTATTCTAATATTTTGAAAGCAGCCGCTCTGGAATGGCAGACAAGGTTCATTTTACTCAGAATAACATAGAGTTTCGTAATTTACAATCAAACCTTTCGCCTGCGATCAGGTCGATTTTTGGGCTCTGGAGATAGGGCTCACTATTTCTGCTCTGTAATGAGATAAGGATGCTACCAATAAATTATATGACCAGAAATCCAAGAGAATTCACTCCCCACATGCTGTGCCAACCTATCTATTTGTGTGCCAATCGATCCTTTATTGGGATTAGCAATGAAAAATACGTTAAAGTTCAGTGTTGTATCATGAAATGTATTTCCGAGGCTTTTAAGTCAATTTCACTGTTCCAATCTCGTAATAATACTCAATACAGAGTTATATTAAAAAAATGAGAGCCATTATATACCCCTTTATAATTTTAGACCTATTTGTAAGAACCTAAACATATTTTTTCTGTAAAATTATAACAAAACTTTATTCTTCTAATATTCAAGGCCTGAAAATCACTGGAAGTGTTCTTAAAACTCAATTTCACTTTTGGTTTTTGTTTTTTTTCCAACGTGCACCACAACATACTTCTCCACTCTACCTTGAATAGATTGCAAACCTGTACACTTCATTCATTGTTGAAGTTTTGAGTAGTTGAAGTAAATAAAAAAAACAACCCGATATCCCTTAACTACCCAATGTCGAGTCTGATATTTAGTTACTTATACATCTTAGCTCAATACCAGCCTTTTATCTTTACATTTTTCTATTTTTCATTATTTATTGCATTCATTTATTGTCCATCTCTAGACAAGGTATCAGTTTAGACACTATTCCAAGAATAAGTTGATCTGTCTTCCAATCTCTTAGCAACCATCCACATTCAATTTCATCTCTTCTCATAATCCATTCTTTAAATCAGGGGGTTAAAGCAAGATAAAGCAATACTGTGATAATTATATATTAACCTCAGTGTCAAATTATGCTAATCTGAACTGCCTTTCTATCCTCACCTTATACGCCTGCTATTAAACAATTATCATCTAGATGAAAATTTTATTATTTTTCTATTTAAATTTTTAGGATAGAGAATTCGTTGAATTGGAAGTACCCTACAACGGACAGCCTAAGAGGCCAGGTTCACCTTCCCCACTGATAAGCCCTACACATTCAGCTGGCAGCAGAACAGGGCTTCTTCAATCTTGCTGTGGTCGCTGTTGCACTCAGAGATACCAGGTATGTCATCATTGAACATCCTCTACAGCTTTTGGGGAAATATTTCAGCCATTTTTCAGCTTTAGTCTAGAATTGACATCTTTCTTGCAAATAATCATCGAAACAAATGTTTCCAAATTATTTGACTCAAATTTCATACTATTTTGTTTATTGTTATTTCACCTTTTTTGAATAGTTAGAATATTTTTTCTTTATATAGAGTAATGTTATTGGACATCCTTTGTTTTAATAATTTTATATTTATTTTGTTAATTTGGTAGATGAAAACAGTAGAGCCCCAAATATGATTATCTTGGAAAAATATTGCGTTTTTGTGCATCAAAAGCACCTTAAGATCAGCCTATAAGCTTAAAACCTAATAAATAAGCACAGATAGTTATATCCATATTTGCTTTATTATCAAAAGTTTTAAAAATAACAAGAACAATGAAAAATAATTTGGTTATATTAAATATATTTATATATCTATTATATATTACAAAGTGACTTTAAAAAAATAGAGAATAGAAAGTATCATGATGCCCCCTAATTAAATTATAACATTTTAAAAAGTTTAAAAGAAAGTATTTTAATTATTTTGAAAGACACTTTTAGATATATAGATAACATTTAGGTTTTATTGGTTAATAGAAATTAAAAGGTTTCTCATTAAAATTAGGTTTAATTTTTAAAAAATATAAAGCCATAGGGGCTCCTACTGAAGACATTAATTATTGATTAATTTCCTTTTATAATATTCCAATAACTGTCTAAAGTAAAATTTAAATTATGTTGTTTTAAAAAGGCATTTTTAGATAATAAGTTATACTTGTTTAAATGTTTGCCAATTTTCAAGCTACACTATATAATAAATTGTTATTTATATTTTGTAAAATGAGATCATAGAGCAATAAAATAATTTTATCTATTTGTAATTGAAACAAAAAAAGTCATTAAAATAAGAAAAAAAATTAATAAGAACTTTGTAATTGTTTAGGTTTTTGTTCACTCGATTTCAGCAGATACTTAAATACTGATACATAAAAAAAAAAGGAAAATAAAATTATACATTATACGCACACTCAATCACACAGACACAGACTCTCATATACACACAAACATACACACACAAACACACACATAAACATGAACATTTTCACCCACAAACCACACAAATTTATATAATGTGTCGTCCCTTTCCATTTCTTTTTGTTACTTATTTTTATTCTTTCTTTTCCCTCCCTTTTATATTTAAATGTAATTTTTAAACTAGAATCCTTGCAATGGGATTAATTATATTAGGATCATTAACATTTCATTGTTAATTTTTTTAACATTAATTTATGTGATATATTGAAATGGAGAAAACTTGTGCTTTCTGAAATTATGACTTCCTCTGTGTATAGTTAATAGAGTATAAATTTGACGTAATTAATAGGTAACAACTATATACATATATACACACATATAAATTAAAATATAACATTAGATATGTGTGCCTTTGTCTAATATATATGTATATACTTTTGACTAGTGTGTACACATTTTATGTACACTTTAGGTTTATAAAGTTCAGATTAACATTACTTCTAGCTATTATATAGATTTTACCCTAGTGTAGCGGTTATAAATGTATTATTACTAAAGTGATAGTTGCTATATTCTAAATACTTTTAACATTAATATAAATACTAATTTTTTTGAAATATATATACATATACATAAAACTTGCATGTAAATTATTAAATATCTGATTTTCTTATTTTCTATAATTGTTTTGCAGATGGTATCATTTAATAATTAAAGTCTTCCATTACTGTGGTTTCTTTTGGTTTAGTAAAAAATATTCAACTGTTATGGCCGTATGCAAGGATGCAATATGCAGTTATAGCTATAAAAATGCTGCTGCTAGAGTTACTGTTATTTTAAACACTGTGAGGTCATTGATTGTATTAGTATCTAGATTAAAATGCAAATACAAAAATATTTAATGTTTTTAAAAGGTGGACTTAGATTGTTTAAGTTGCTTTCAAAGGATATATTTAAATAAATCCATGAATTATGTTCATGTTTATGTAAATCATTTAGAATTTTAAAAAATTTCCAATTATTAAGTTACTTGCGATTCAAAAAAAAAAAAGTTTAAATCAGACAATGAACGAATGGTTGAATTTTGCTCAAAAAGTATGTTTGCGTAGGCGTATATATATATATAATATATATATATATATATATATATATATATATATATATATATATATATATATACATTTCAATTTACATATAAATGTATACGGGGTGATTCAGCTAAATCATGCATTTGAATCATTGCATACTCTTTCTGCCAAATGATAACAACTGAGAATTCAATATTTTTTTCTCTGGTTCTTGTGGTTTCGTCATGGCTTTCGAATTGAAGATTATTCAGTAGTCTAAATTTGTGTACAAAGTATTTTTTTTTATAATGTAAAGCCAGAGGAGTACAGGAAAAGACAGAAAATAGCGTATGTATGATAGTAGTTTTAAAGACGTATAGGAAAATATATTATTTTTATCTACCTTAGTGTTCCATGTTAACAAATATGTATTCATGACTTAAATAGTCAAAAAGGGTAAAGGCACCCATACTGTGTTCAAAGACTAAACTAGCATGTGGAAGTAAGGGCTCTGTTCCGATTTCAGTCACTGCCTCTCGTAACTCTTTCATTGCTAAGGCTGTGTAATCAACGTCCATCTTTCATTAGCTGAAATACTTCATAGTTAAATGAATGTCTTTGTTTGTACGCTGCTGCCTGGATTCGCTCAGCTCTACTTTGGTATATTATTAACATCGATTTAGAATCATAGTGATGAATTTCTTGTTTCAATACACGATCTCGTTTTTCACAAATTAGCTTGTTCTTGAATATATATATATATATACTTTCATTGGGTGCATTATTTTGTAAGTGAAATGTCATGCGGAATTTGTCGTTGCATTATTTACTAAGAAAAGTGGTCCGTTATCTACTTAATGTAATGAATGTAATTGTCTTTTAATTCTTCTTCTTTCTCTATGGTCATCTGTTAGTATTGCCACTCCTTCTGGACAGCCAAAGCATAATCTTAATAAAAATCGTTCTACATCATTAATTTGACCGCTTTAAGCGCTAATATTTGACGGAATTGAATAGTTCCAATTTTTTTTACATGGAGTAGGATTGTTCTTAGTTACCACTGATTTCTGTTCTTCCACCATTATACGGATTTTTTATCACAATTAAAAATCATGATGTAAGAACTTTAATGGATTTCCATAAACGAAGAAACTTTCATCAGCTACATCAGTTCATTGGTCAGTCACTCTCCTCAAATCTATGACGTATTTCCGATAATCTGGTATGCTGGATGATTTCAAAACCTGAACTTTATTCTTTATAGAAGTTAAGCCCTTAATTTGTTCGATAGAAAGCATCCCCTTTGCTATATCAGATGGTTCGTGCATCGAATTATGCATATGTAGCCAATAATAAAAGTATTCCATAACTGCTTTAAATAAAATAAAACATGCCCAATTCTTCGGCAACACGCAGATCTTCATTGTGTTTGATGAAGAACAACAGATACGAATCACTGCTTGTTATATCCCCTCCCAATTAAAAATAAAATAGGCCTGTGGCGTCTTTTCATATCTACTACTCTCCTTTTCTACCAATTTCGTAAGGATCAAATTTCTGCAAAATATTAAAAATATTCTTATTCTTTTAAGAATATGTACCTCGATGATTACAACCTTGAATATTTTTAAAGTAATGGAAATCTATAGGGCAATCAGTCCAATTCAAGGGGTGGTATTTTAACTTTTGTAGCTAAATGGTGTATTTTTTGGTATGAATTTCACTTATATTGAACACTGCTTTCTCATTGTGGGGTAAGGTTGAGTGAGTTATTGGTGAGCAGAGAGAACCTCCCCCTCTCTCCTACTTCCCACCAATAAGGTAATTACTATTACTTCCGTAGGCCTATTTATGAAATTATTACTGACGTCGTTTGTTAAGATCCATCTTTGGGTTTCATATGTTACAAGGGTCTTATTACTATTTAGTTCCTTTAAATTGTGGCTTGAATCAACAACAGTAATTTTTGAGATTACTTCGTTTCATGTCCACTATTTTGAATTACACCTCTCAAACTTTTTAAAACCTCAGTGAATGGTAATGTACTATGGCTAGTTGATCAGCTTCAATTACTACCATGTTCCGTCCACAAATGTGTGCGTCCTAAATATTTGGGACGTCGTCATGTGAGGAATGCTAGCAAGTCTCCTGAGGTTCCACTGCCTACTTTTGATTTCACAACTGCAGGAAGAATTGCCTTTTCGATCAAGTTTTATATTACCTAAAATCCAAAACATTCATGATTTTGTCGTTTTGGATTATAACTAAATACTCTTCTTTTTTTGTATTCCTCATATATTTTAAAATATTTTTTTAAATTTACGACAACGTTATTTCAAATAAATGCCAGATTAAATATGCGAAAATACTATTAAATGGCCTAATTCGTAATAATACATATCTTAGGAAGACCATTCATTACAGGAGAAAAAAAATTTAAAAAGAAAAAAAAAAAGTAGCGCAACAAATCATCTGCAATACGAATAATTTGTGCATAGCATTTTCTTTTACTTTTTTTTTTGTGGATGAACGTAAAAATGATTTTTCAATATATTTTATCACTATTATGTTAATGTTACATTTGTCTGATCATCCTTTATATGTATGTTTATATATGTATATACATATTCAAATCAATCTCAACTAAAATCTGTTAATTAACCTTTGATTGCATAATGAACTTTTTTCCTAAAAATATTTTCCTTTTCTCTATATAGTGTTACTGTCTTTATGTAATGATTGATAACATTTCAAGACAATCCAATAGGATAAAAAAAAAATTAAAAATAGTCCAAAATTTTGTAATTGGAGAAGAATAAAAACATTATTATAAGACATAATTCAGAAATAATAAAATCCTTTTCG